TGTACCACCTCACCTTATTTTATGTGGTGCTTGGGACCGAACCCAGGGTTTCATGCATTTTAAGCAGGCATTCTACCAACTGAGCTACATCCCCCGCTCCCTGGATTGCAATGTGTGTAGTTTTGTCTGTTCACGCGTGTGCCATGGTGTGCATATGAAGGTCAAAGGACAATCTTGGATGTTGGTACTAATTATCCATCTTATTTTTTAAAAAAAAAAAGTTTATTTTTTATGTGCATTAGTGTGAAGGTGTCAGATTCCTTGGAACTGGAGTTACAGACAGGTGTGAGCTGCCATGTGGGTGCTGGGAAATGAAACCAGGTCCTCTGGAAGAGCAGTCAGTGCTCTTAACCACTGAGCTATCTCTCCAGCCCCTATCCATCTTATTTGACAGGGTCTCTTGATATTCACTGTTACTTAGGCAGATTAATGAGCTGGCCCTGCAAGCTCCCAGGAGTTTTCTGGTTTGTGTTTCCCATTTCTCCTTAAAAAAAAAAATCACTGGGATTGGGCTGGAGAGATGGCTTAATGGTTAAGAACACTGGCTGCTCTTCTAGAGGTCCTGAGTTCAATTCCCAGCAACACGTGGTGCCTCACAGCCATCTGTACTGGGATCTGGTGCCCTCTTCTGGCTTGCTGGCATATGTGCAGGGAGAACACTATACATAATAAATTTTTTTTTTTTAAAGGACTGAAGCTATAGCTCAGTGGTAGAGTGCTTGCTGAGTGCACAGAAAGCGGTATTCTCCAGTGCTATTAAAAATAAATAATATTGCTCTTCCGGGGACGGTGCTTAGAGGCACTCAGGATGGTCCAGCGTTTGACATGCCGTCGTAGGCTCTCCTACAACACAGCCTCCAACAAAACTAGGCTGTCTCGAACCCCTGGCAACAGGATTGTTTACCTTTACACCAAGAAGATTGGAAAAGCACCTGAATCAGCATGCAGTATGTGGCCAGGCCGACTCTGAGGGGTTCGTGCTGTGAGACCGAAAGTCCTCATGAGATTGTCGAAGACAAAGAAGCATGTCAGCCGGGCCTATGGTGGCTCCATGTGTGCCGAGTGTGTCCATGACAGGATCAAGCGGGCTTTCCTTATTGAGGAGCAGAAAATTGTTGTGAAAGTGTTGAAGGCACAAGCGCAGAGTCAGAAAGCGAAATAAACGTGCGGCTTTTTTTAAATAAAGGTCAAGGCTTGGTCTGTGAATAAATAAATAAATAAATAAATAAATAAATAAATATAAATAATATTAGCTGTCTAGGTAAGATCACTTGCTGTGTAAGCCTGATGATTTGAGCTGAGCTCCATGGAATCAAAAAAAGCTGAATGGAAAGGAGCAAGCGTCTGTGACCCCAGCACACTCTCAGAGGAGATGGGAAAGAGACAGGAGACTCTCAGGATGCTTGCAAACCAGAGAGCCCGACTTTCGCTGCAGCAGAGAGACCTATGGATGGAAGGTGGAGACCAGCACCTTAAGGTAGTTCTCTGACCCCAACAAGTGCTCTCAACTCACACACACAGACAAGCACCCCCAAATATATCATAATAAATAAAACCACCTGTACAGTATGGATATGTGTGGTACCAGAGAAGAGTCTAGAATGATTTTTTAAAATATTTATTTATTAAGTATACAGTGTTCTCCCTGCATGTCTGCCTGCAGGCCAGAAGAGGGCACCAGACCTCATTACAGATGGTTGTGAGCCACCATGTGGTTGCTGGGAATTGAACTTAGGACCTTTGGAAGAGCAGGCAGTGCTCTTAACCTCTGAGCCATCTCTCCAGCCCCTAGAATGATTTTTAAAAAGGCTATTAAATTGATTTTTCCTCTTGTCCAGTTAAATATGTGTATGGCCATATTTCCCTCCTATCCTTTAACATTTCAAAACAGATTGAACAGAGAAGCTAATATGAGAATGTAGCTATGCTGGGTGATGGTGGCACAGGCTTTAATTTCAGCGCTCGGGAGGCAGAGGCAGCGGATCTCTGTGAGTTTGAGGCCAGTCTGGTCTACAGAATGAGTTCCAGGATAGCTAGGGCTGTTACACAGAGGGGAAAAAAAGAATGTAGCTATGTTTAACTGAACAAAAAATGTAAGAGAACTGTATATACAACAACACTGAGCTTTGTGGGAAATATATTTTTGGGGTTTATGGAAGAAAAGTCAACTTCTGTTAGAGCTATTAGCTGATCCACTGTCCAGTGACTGTTCTATTTATGTAGGTGCTATAATAAGAACTGTGTGCTGGCTAGTATTTTTGTCAACTCGACACCAGCTAGAGTCATTTGCCAAGCCTATGGGGGCATTTTTCTTGACCAGTGGTTGATGTGGGAAGACCCTGCCCACTTGGGTTGGTGCCACCCCAGGGAAGGTGATCCAGAGTTGTATAGGAAGCAGGCTGACCAAGCCAGGAACTAGCAAGTCAGTAAGCAGCGTTCCTTTAGAGGTTCTGCTGCAGTTCCTGCCTCCAAGTTCCTGCTTGGGTTCCCACCCTGACTTCACTCAGTGATGGCTGTGATGTGGTACTGGGAGTTGAAACCCTTTCCTCCCCACGTTGCTTTTGGTCATGGTGTTTCATCACAGCAACAGAAACCCAACCAAGACGCAGTGTATTTACTAGAAGGCAGATTAGCCAATAGCACCAAGCCTCTTAGCAATTTAAATAAAAAATTGCAAAATGTTTTGAGGCTCGATTTTGGAACTCCAAGGGTGTTTGATTTCTGATTCCTGTTCTCTGTAGAACGAAAGAAGGTTATTCCATTGACATGTAAACACAATATGTTTTCTGTTCTGCTGATATAAATTCAACACCAACTCTTCAGACACATCAGTTATGAGCATAAGTGTATCATGTAACCACAAATCTATAACATTGGAAGGCTAAGACAAGAATGGATGTTGTGGGGCTGAGAGATGGCTCAGGGGTCACAAATTTATAACATTGGAAGGCTTAAACAAGAATGGATGCTGTGGGGCTCAGGGGTTAAGAGCACTGACTGTTCTTCCAGAGGTCCTAAATTCAATTCCTGGCAACCACATGGTGGCTCACAACCATCTGTAATGAGATCTGGCGCCCTCTTCTGGCCTGCAGGATACATGTTGGCAGATGCTGTATACATAATTAATATGTAAACCTTTTTAAAAAAGGAATGGGTGCTGCTAGAATAATGTTGTTTCCTTTGATGAATGCTGAGCATCTCTCTCCCCCAGCTTATTTCTTCAGCTTGTCAAAGCAGTGATGAATGGTTGTCTCATAACCAAATTAGAGTGAAGATACCGGCCACATAGTGCACGTGCTGCAGTGTGTGTATGTGTGTGCACGCATACATGTGGGCGTAGCCCAGATGTTAATGGCTGGTAGCTTCTATCTGAGCTTTAAAAGACATTGTTGTTGTTATGGTTTTTCTAGACAGGGTTTCTCTGTGTAACAGACCCGCTGTCCTGGAACTCACATAGATCCCCCTGCCTCTGCCTCCCAAGTACTGGGTCTAAAGGTGTGGTACCACAACACCTGATTTTTTTTATGATTTATTTATCTTTATTTTATGTGCATTGGTGTGAAGGTGTCAGATCCCCTGTAAATGGATTTTCAGACAGTTGTGAGCTGCCATGTGGGTGCTGGGAATTGAACCTGGGTCCTCTGGAAGAACAGTCAGTGCTCTTAACCGCTGAGCCATTTCTCCAGCCCCGTTATTATTTTTATTTTATGTGTTTGTTTTGCCTGCATGTGTGTCTCTACACCGTGTGCATGCAGTGCCCCAAGAGGACACAAGAGGGAGTCAGGATTCTCTGGAACTGGAGTAGGAGAAGACTGAGCCGTTATATGGTTGCTGGGAACCAAATCTTGGTTTCTGCAACAGTAACAAGCACTCTTAACCACTGAGCCATCTCTCTAGCCTCCACCTGGTCTCTCCGAGATGAGATCTTTCCATGAATCTGGGGCTCACTGATTCCTTCAGTGAATGCTGGCTGTTATCTTTCTGTCTTCATCCCCCAGGACCAGGAAGGAGCGCAGAGCTTCAGAATCAGGTATAGTGTAAATTCTAATTGGTCTTAAAAATAAAACCCCAGAGTCTGATATCAGGATAAATGCTGAAAAATCAGTGAAGGAAAGAAAGCATAGTAGGGAAGACACAAGCAGCTGCCGCTAGAGAAGTAAGATATGAGGTAAAGTATAAACTAATAGAAATGTAACTCATTTCTAAGTCAATTCTAATCTAAGTTGTAAGAGCTAGTTAATAATAAGCCTGAGCAAATAGGCCAAACAGTATGTAATTAATATTAAGCATCTGAGTGGTTATTTTAGAAGCTGCTGTGGGACCAGGTGGGATGAGAAACCTCCAGTTACAAAACAGGATGGTGATTTAAAGTTCATTCCACCTATAATTCAGGTTTTTCCAACTTCAAGGTCTTATCACATGGCATATTTCTCAGTCTTTTCTTGAAATATTCTGTACTTAACTCTCTGTTTCTTAGATCCCTACAGTTTATCACTAAGTGGTCATCTGGGTTTGGATCACAAAGTAGTGAAAAATAAATTAAAGAACTTTAGAAATAGTTAAAGTGAGGGTGAAGAGATGACTCAGCAGTTAAGAGCACTTACTGCTCTTCCAGAATCCAAGTTCAGGTTCCAGTACTCAGAGCGGGCAGCTGATAGCTGACTTTAAGTCACCTTTTCTGGCTTCTGTGGTCACACACATGGCATACACATGACAAACACATACATACATAAATTTTAAAAAGTTAAACAGAAAACACTGTGACTTTATAGTGTTAAGACAAATGCTGCTATAACTCTGAATATCTGAATGCTACTTTCGATTTTTGTTATTTGAGAGAAAGTTTCTATGTTGTAGCCCTAGCTGTATGGGAAGTTGCTCTGTAAACCAGGTTGGCCTCAAACTCAGAGATCCACCTGCCTCTGCCTCCTGAGTGCTGAGATTAAAGACATGTGCCACCACTACCTATCCTGATAAATTCTTGTTATAAATGCAACTTTAGGTGATTTGAAGAGGTAGTCTGTTTATAAATGTCCTAGAGAAATATAGTAGCTTTCTGTTCATCCTTTACAAGAAAGGGTGGATCGTTCCACTACTGACATTTATAAAAAAATAAAAAATTAAAAAAAATAAAAATAGAAAAAAAGAGGTAGCCTGTATGTTGCGTCTCTACCTCGTCCACCAAGGAATGACGCGACCACCAGAGCTCTTCTAACTGCAGTTTATTCCAGGACTTTATTCACTTTCTCTCTTTCTTCCTCTCTCTTTCCTTCCCTTTTCCTCTCTCCTCTTTTTGCAAACCTCTCTCTTTCTACCCTCTCTCCCCGGGCAAACCTCTCTCAGCCCTTAAGTAGGCATGGGCTGCCAATCCCAGATTGCCAGGTGGGCACTGCCCATAGGCCCACGCATATGCAAGCACCTGATAATCATTGCGTGATCATAGCATAGGTCAGGCCTTAGCCATCTCAGGAGTTGATTATACATCTCCATCAGGTGTGACACCACGCAGCTCGCTACACCTGTAGAGAAATGAATTGACAAAAAGAATATGTCATTTTGATATGGAATATTATCAGATTCCATAATTGTAGCTTGTCAAGGAAACAGATCAACAGAACCTGAAGGACACTGCCAGAGGATCACTGGCCAGATTCCACAGAGAAGATCAAGGGCTAGTTCCTTATTAATCTGTTTTAGATGCATACTCTGTGCTTTTCACCTGGCCTCTCCATGTCTCAATATATACTCAAAAGTTGAGCCAAAAGTCTTTAAAATATAAGATTTAATTTTTCCCTGTGTATGAGTGTTTTAATTGCGAGTGTGTTTCTACCATGTGCTACAATTAAGGCCTGACCTATGCTATGATCACAGAAGACCTAAAAGTCTACCTCCACATAGACACACTTTCTCTAACAAGGCCACATTGTTGTAGGAGTTCGTTTGTTCATTTTCCCGGCCACCCAGACTCCCAAAATAACCACACAGAAACTGTATTAATTAAATCACTGCTTGGCCCATTAGCTCTAGCTTCTTATTGGCTAACTCTTATATATTAATTTAACCCATTTCTATTAATCTGTGTATCACCAAGTGGCTGTGGCTTACTGGCAAAGTTTCAGCATGTCTGTCGCCGGTGGGGCTACATGGCATCTCACTGACTCCACCTCCTTTCTCCCAGCATTCAGTTTAGTTTTCTCTACCTAGCTCTATTCTACCCTATCACGGGATCAAGACAATTTTTTTTATTAACCAATGGTATTCACAGCATACAGAGGGGAATCCCATATCACCACACCTCCCATCAGTGGCACTCCCTTTGGGGACTATTTTCTTTGAAACCACCACAAGGACCTTATAGTTGGGTCCAAAATATATTTATTTTCCACAAAAATTTGTAGTACTTGCTGGATCAAACACAAGGACTCCCACATGCTAGACCAGTGATCTATTGTGCTACAGATGTAATTTGTCTAAACATGTAATAATTTTTTTTGTCTTTGAATAAATCATCATACATGTGTATATGTGTATGTTATATAATTTTGGTTTTTTGTTTGCTTGTTTATTTTGTTTTTTTCTTTTTACATAAATTGGTCTGGAACTTACAACATACCCGAGGGCAACCGTGAACTCTTGATACTCCAGCTTTCACCTTCTGAGTGTTGGGATTATAGGTTTATACCACTACATTTAGCATTGATGTATTCTTTGAAATTTATTTTTAGTTATGTGTTTATGTCTGCGTGAGGGAATGTGTGCATGATTGCAGGTGCCCTCAGAGGCCAGAGGCCTGGAAACCCCCAAAAACAGGAGTTAAAGACAGTTCTGAGCCACCTATGGGGATACCAGGAACCAAACTCAGTTTATCTACAAGAACAAGACTATATGTGCTCTGAACTGCTGCCATCTCTCCACACCTAGATACTCATTTGAAAATCTTCTCAACGTAAAACTGTTCAAAATCGGAGCTGGAAAGGTGCTCCGATGCCGAGAGAGTTTACTACTCTGCAGAAGACACAGGTCTGTTCCCAGTACCACATTCCAGGTCTCACAACCCATTGTAACTCCAGTGATAGGTGATCTGATGCCCTTTTCTGGCCTCTGCACACATGAGGCATACAGATTCAAAAATATACACATAAGTAAAAAGAAATCTTTAAAAAATATCTTCCGAACTGGGGTTGTAACTCAGTTGTACAGTGTTTGCCTAGTTTACTCTAGGATTTGTGTTAGCCTCAGCCTTACACACTTACACACACTAGTTTACTTTAGGATTTGGGTTTGAGCCCGAGCATTACACACTTACACACACTAGTTTACTCTAGGATTTGTGTGAGCCTCAGCCTTACACACTTACACACACTATTATACTCTAGGATTTGTGTGAGCCCCAGCATTACACACTTACACTAGTTTACTCTAGGATTTGTGTGAGCCTCAGCCTTACACACTTACACACACTAGTTTACTCTAGGATTTGTGTGAGCCTCAGCCTTACTTACACACACTAGTTTACTCTAGGATTTGGGTTTGAGTCTGAGCATTACATGCTTACACACACTAGTATACTCTAGAATTTGGGTTTGAGCCCGAGCATTTCACACTTATACACACTTAAAAGAAAAAAAAAGACAGAACTCAGCACATGTTTGTAACCAGGACTCAGAAGGTAGAAGCTGTCGGGTCAATATTCACGTAATCCTCACCTGCAGTGTTTGAGCCAGCTGGGCTACATGAGACCTTATCTCAAAATAAAACAAAAATAAACATAAAGTCTAGTTTCCTCTGTTTCCAACAGTGTAAGGGTGTACCGAGACCAAAATGGTGGTGAGTCGTTCTGTTCTGGGATACTTTTCCTTATCCTGTGGGCCAACTCCAGTAGGGAATTGAATGTTACGACTGTGTTCAGTACCTTCTGAGTGATGGCTGGACAGCGAGCGCTTGCTCCTTATCTCTCCTTTTTCTTTTCTTTTTAACTTTCCTACTGCTTTTAAATTTAGGAGTTCCTTTAGGTACAGAACGTATTGGCACACTAGCTTTAATCAGGGGCAGTTCTTCCAAGTGCATCCTTAACTCTCGAGGCCGCGTCTTTGGAAAAATCTGCCCTTTTGCACCATTTGTCTTTTTTCTTTTTTGAATGCCAGGAAGCACTTTAGGACATTTAAACCCAGAGAGGAAGGACATAAAGAGGTTAGGAAAGTATGAGTCTTAGTTTTGCAGTCCAAACATTTGGGAGACAGAAGCAGGAGGATCGCCGCGAGTTCCAGGCTAGTTCTGTTTCAAAAGGTGGCACAAACCTTTAGTCCCAGCACTCTGGAGGCAGATGGTTGTCTGTAAGTTCGAGGCCAGTCTGGTCTACACAAACGAGCTCGGGACTACACAACTACAAAGACAGACCCTGTCTCAAAACAACAAAACAGGCGTATGTGATGGGTAGTTAGCATAGAGACACTTGTTCTGGGAATGGTCACTCCTCCCTTACAATGCCAAGGTTAGATTCACGCGTGTCCCTTTACCCCTGCGCCGTCCATCCTCCGCCCTCGACTCCTTGCCCTGCCCCTCCTCCCACTGCTCCGCAAGCTCTTTGGGCTCAACCCTCTGCTCAGGATCGCTCCGCCCCGCCCCTCACCCCGCCCACACACTTATCCTACGCCTGAGTCCCCGGCTGCGGGTTCTGGCCTTCACGACAGTGCGGGTGCTTTCCGGCCTGCCGCGCGAGTGTTGACGACGTGTCGAGGGGGCGGAGCCCAAGACAGTAGTGGGTTTCCACTTGCTCGCGATCGGCTGCAAAGGGCCGTCTGTCTCTGCAGTCATGGCTGTGCACCGTGACTCTGCACGGACCGCTACCTCCTCAGGTAGGTTGGCTGAGGGTTGGCGAGAGGGATGGTGACCTTAGTGAGGAAGTGGCATATTGGGAGAGATGGTAGTCTTGTGTTGTGAGTCCGTGGGAGGATCCTGGAGGAGGGCCTGCCACCCAGAAGCTTGCGGTAGTCCGATCAATGGGAGAACCCAGTGGGGTGGATACCCTAGGCTGTGGGGACTTCGGTTTTCCTACGCACACCTTTCTCCCACTTCTTGGTTGTAGATAAAGTGCAGAAAAACAAGTCTGCACGGACATCAGGGCTCAGCCAGGGCAGCCGCATGGAGAAACTTTTGGGGTTTGAATGGACAGATTTATCTAGCTGGCAGAATGTCGTGACCCTCCTTAACCGACCAACGGACCCCGCAAACCTGGCTGTCTTTCGTTTTCTTTTTGGTAAGTCTATTTTCTGGTCCCGGACATTTTGGTTGGGCTTGAGAAAATGACATCCTATTTCTTTTTAAGATTTAGTATGTGTGTGTGTGTGTGTGTGTGTGTGTGTTAGTTTGCCTTCTATTACTGTGATAAAAATACCATGACAAAAAGCATCGTGGAAAAGGAAGGGTTTGTTTCAGTTTACAGTTGTAGTTCATCATGAAGGGATGGATGTCAGGGCAGGAACCTGGAGGGCAGAACTGGAAAAGAGTCATGGAAGAACCGCAGTGGCTGTTGGCTTGCTCCTCGTGGCTTGCTCCACCAGCTTTCTTATAACACCTGGGGTCACCTATCCACACAGTAGGCGGGGCCCTCCCGCATCAGTGCTCACAGGCCAATCTGATTCGAGGCATTTTCTCAGTGGAGGTTCCTCTAGATTGTTTTAAGTGGACAAGGATTAACCAAGATAGTTTCTGTATGGATGTGTGAATGTATGCCAGGTATCTGGTTGCTTGTTGAAGCCAAAAGAGAGTGTTGGATTCCTTGGAACTGGAGTGAAAGGCAATTGTACTGCCTGATATGGCTGCTGGGAATTGAGCTCTGGTCCTTTGGAAGATTAGCGCAGGTTCTTAACTGCTGAGCCATTCTCTCTAGTGCAATCACCTATTTCTTAGTTATTTCTTAGGTGTTCTTTTCCTTAGAGCTGAAAGTATTGGAATAATGGAAGAATTCTTTGGAAGTTTAGAATCATAACCTGGCCTTGTCACCTCTAGTTAGGGTTTAGTGCTCAGAAATGCGTTGGTCTGTGCACATGTACATGTAGACCACAGGTCAACGTCAGGTGTCTTCCTTAATCATTTCTCCACCTT